ACCCACTAGATGGAAGTTTATTTTTGGACAAGGTTTATGCTTCAGGATTCCTCAATACGTTGCTAGCACGAGAGAGGTCAGGGTGAGTAAAACGAACACCATGGAGACAGACTTTTTTTTTTCTTTTTTTCCTGTTGTGCTGAGTAACGCGGCGTTTTGCCGTAACCCAAGATGTCAGTCGCCTCTCAAATTTTAGTCCGTACAATGACGTCACACAGCGACAGCGACGCCCTCCCTCCCTAGGGTTTCCACTACATTACCCAGGATACCTTGCCAACAGCGACGCCATTGGTCGGCGCCGACGGAAGTGCACCTGACTGGGCGGAAGTAGAAGGTCTCAGAGGCCAGGAAGGTGGAGCGAGGAGGGTCTGTGAGGTTGTGAGTATCCGGGATGTGTGGAGGATTGGTGGTGAGGAATGTAGATAGGGGACAATCCGCAGGGAAGCGCGGGGTGGCAATTCCCAAACTCTGGGGGCTCATCCTCATATGTTCTTCTACTAGACTTGGGAGCAAAGAGAAACAAGACATTGCTATGGAAGCGAAGTCTCCGTATTAGGATTTTGCTGTTTTTAAGTTTTTTTGGAACGAGCTAGGGCGAATTTGGACTCCTGTCGCGACACGAGGGTCGTTGGCCTGATTTTGCTGCGATCAGAGGGACGGGGCTGCTGACGGTCTGACTCAGCTTCTAGCGCAGTGGTTCGCAATTGGCTGCCCATTGAATCACCTGGGATTTTTTTTTCCCCCAAACTACAGACGCCCTTGCCTGAAGCCAGACCAATAAATCAGAATCTGGGCAGTGGTATTTTCTAAAGCATCTCTAGTGTTCTATTGTGCAGCCAGGGTTCAGAATTAGCCTTTCAGTGCCTGATTCTGACCCGCACGGGGATCTTGATTAGGACCACCTGAGCCGGCGCTCCCCTTTCACTACAAGATGCGTGGGCTCTACCACATGCAATTGGATTAAACTGATGATCACAGTTTCAGCACGGATTCTATTTTGAGCTCCACCGGACGCTTATTCTGGGCTTCCTGTAGTGGTGCTGGAAAGACAAACCGTAGTTGGGAAATCATAGTTTGTTATTCACAACTTGGTCATTCATTCTAAATGAAGAGTAGAGCTGCTTCATTTTTCTTGCCACTGTTTTAGTTTCTGCCTGTTTTTTGCTACCTCAACAAAATGCGAGCAGTGGAATGTGGAAGAACCACATTAAAATCGGTCTCTTTTGTTGTTTATAAGAAGTTCTGGTACCAGATTTAAAGGGATATCAGTTAAAATGATGTTTGGCATTATTTATGGGCTTATAACTTTTTTTAATAATGAATTCCAATGAGAGGAAGTTAGGGTGTGTTTTTGGCTATGATGCAGAGGTTCGGTTAGGTATGCAGAGCAGATTTGCTTTTTTTTTTTCAATATAAACACCATTACATAGCAGATGTTTTTTCTTTCCCAGAGGTTCAGCATCACCTCCCTCACTGAATTCAGCATGGGAGAGAAGTCAGAGAACTGTAGGGTTCCAGAGGATCTGTTCAATGGTTTGAAGGTAACAGATACCCAGGAAACAGAGTGTGCTGGCCGTCCAGTTCCTGATCCCAAAGATCAGCATTCCCAGAACAAGCTGCTTAGGGATGATGAGGCCCGTTCCCAGGAGGACCAGGAAGAAGAGGAGTGTTTTCATGACTGCAGTGCTTCATTTGAGGAGGAGCCAGGGGTGGACAAGGTTGAGAAGAAACCTGATGATGATGTGAATTCCTCTGAACTAGATGAAGAGTACCTAATAGAACTGGAAAAAAACATGCCAGAAGAAGAGAAACAGGTAAATATTTCATTTATTGTATACAATGTGCCACTTAAACTGCTTTTAAAAATAAATGTGGTGAATGCTGTATCATAGACCACTTCATATGTGGTAAAGAGTAACTTTGTCTTATTGCTTTAGTAGTGATGGATCTCAGATAAATCAGCATGAGAGGGAAGCATTGAGTATGTCTGCTTAGCAAAGAAATTTCCATTTTTTTCCTGTGAACTTTGAGCTGTATGTTTGTCTCCTACTTCAGGAGTCTGTAACATAACAGTCCTTTTATTTAATTATTTTCTACGTGTGTGTGTGTGTGTATGTGTATACATACACACTTTTAGCCTTCCTTTTTTTTTTTTTTTAGAGATGGGGTCTTGCTCTGTTACCTAGGCTGGAGTGCAGTGGCAGGAACATAGCTCACTGCAGCCTTGAATTCCTGGGTTTAAGCAGTCTTTCCACCTCAGCCTCCCACATAGTCAGGACTACAGGCGCACAACTCCATGCCCAGCTAATTTTTCTATTTTTTATAGCGATGGCGTCTCATTATTGCCCAAGCTGGTCTCTAACTCCTGACCTGGAGTGATCCTTCCACCTTGGCCTCCCAAAGTGCTATAATTACAGGTGTGAGCCACTGCATCGGGCTCTTCTAGCTTTCTTTTAGCTTTCTTTTATGACCTTTTCTATAATTGCTAAAATTTCTGCAATGAACATTTTTTGTAAGAGTATTTAGGATTAAGTATGCTTCCTGTTTATGTTGATCCTTTGTTAGCAAAATATGACTGCCTGAATATCTTGGTGCTGTTTTGGTTACAGGGGACAGTGATTGGGTCTCAAAGAACAGAAGTGTGTATGATAGGAGCAATCATTTGATGAACATCTATAATGTGCCAGCCACTGAGCTTAAAATGTTACTGGTGTTTTCATTTAATCCTCACAACACACCTATGAGATATATACTGATATTATTGCCCATAAGGGAACAGAGCTTAGCGTGGTAAAGTAACTTGCCCAATATGAAACGCCTAGTAAATGTCAGAACTGATTCTCAAATTGATATGTATTTGATTCCAAAGCCAAAGTATAATGTAGAATTTAATAATAAAGACATCTCTCTTCCAAACGCAGTAACTAGGCAAAGATGATTGTAGCCTGAACTGTGGATGTGAAGTGAAATGAATGATTTCAGGATATGTTTTAGAGGTAAAATTGATAAGACATACTAGTGGATTTGATTGGGGGGATGGAGTGGGAGATTAGGATGATTCCTTGGCTTCAGCACTGGATGGATGGTGGTGGCCTTTACTAATATGAAGAAGATGAAGGGACTTTGAGTTCATCGAGACTTTGGTAATTTAATCCTTGCCTGCAAACAAAAAGTTTTTAATTTGTTAAGCCAAAATGCAGATTCAGATATTTTAATGGGCTTGCTCCCTGTCACCAATTGTTTGTACATGGCACTTACATACATACATAGATCCTTTTAAGTAAGAGATCTAAAGATCTGTTGCTTGGTGAACATGGACTCAGAATGCATGGTATCTGGGATTTTAAAAAATTTATTAGGCTCTGAAAATGTAAGGATTATTCTCTTTAACTAGGACAAACTTTAATTATCAAAGTTTAGAAGAGAAGTTTCAATTTAGAATGTAAGTTAAATTTTAGGTGTCATTTCCCTTCTCTATCCCTGTTGTTTTTCCTGAATTCCACATTATTTAATCCTTTGGATTTCCATGTTTCTGCCACCTCATGGTATCATTTCCATAATCTTATCAAGGGTTGTAACTGTGGGCATGTTTGCAGGGAATACTCTCTTGGTTGCTTGCAGTTTTCAGTAACTTCTTCAGTGGCTTGCATATTCCTGTTAACTTCATGATCAAACCCTTTTTTTTTTTTTTTTTGAGACAGAGTCTTGCCCTGTTGCCAGGGCTAGAGTGCCATGGCATCAGCCTAGCTCACAGCAACTTCAAACTCCTGGGCTTAAGTGATCCTCCTGCCTCAGCCTCCCAAGTGGCTGGGACTATAGGCGCATGCCACCATGCCCAGCTAATTTTTTCTATTTTTAGTAGAGACGGGGGTCTTACTCTTGCTCAGAGCTCAGGCTGGTCTCAAACTCTTGAGCTCAAGGGATCCTCTCACCTTGGGATCCTCCCAGAGTGCTAGGATTACAGGCCTGAGCCACTGCTCCTGGCCAGTGACTGAACCCTTTCTGATTTTGTTGTTTCTCTTTCCTTTCATTTCTAATGGGCATCCTTTGGAACTAAGGTTGCCATTTTTATTAACTTCTTAGAGTTACTGCTATTGGGCTTAATGCTCTTGGCAAGTGATTGAATCAAATCTTGGAATTTATGAACTGGAAGGGACCTTAGATTTCTGATTCTGAGGTTAAATCAGAGAAAATAAGGGCTGCTTGCTCTAAAACTTGTGGAAGTTAATGGGATATGTTTACAGTATTTGCTGGTAGAAAAGTTAAAGTGGCATTCATTATTTCCTGTGTTTATTAAGGAAGAAGACTTTGTGTAGATGAGTGATTGTCAAACTTTATTGTGCCTAAGAATCATAGGAAACTTATTAACTATGCAAAGCCCTGAGAAGTGTCTGATAGCACAAACCTGTGAGGTGGCACCCAGGCATCTACTTTGTTTAACAGGCATCCATCCCCAGGTAATTTTGATATAGGAAGAACTGTGGCCACACTTTGGGAAACAGAGAGCCAGATAGACACAGATGACTAAGTGTCCAAAACAAGAAGTATTGACCTAACCAATACACTGATTGCATCCAACATCAGAGCTAAACAGGAGGTTTTCTTTTACCCACATCTGTGCTCAAGGTCTAAAAACAACTTTTTAGGCAGAATTTAAGCAATACCAAAATAGAACATTTATTGAGTTTTGGGAAATAGAATTTTCTGAGTGAAGAAACCAGGAAATACTTACAAGATTAATTCCTCAGAGATCAGTCATTTTTCCTCAGAAGGATAAGACTTAATGAGAGCCAGGTTCTAACTGTAGCTTTGATCCAAAGATCCTCCCTCGTGACTTCCTAAAGGGCCTATAAAAGTGACTTGTGGAAAGAATAAATGCGTCCATGTGTGAAAAGCAAATGATGTCTGATTTCAAAGAAAACAAAACTGTGAAAGCTCTTTTTATTTCTTTCTTCTTTTTTCCTTTTTGAGTAAAGAAAGAATTCCCTTCAGAATAATTTGTAGGACTGGTGTCCCTAGCCCTTTCAGTATTTGCATTCCAAGTATAGTTGTCTCATTCCACCTAGATAGGACTAACGCAGAAAATTTTGTTGCATGGCCTCCATTTTCCAGCACGTTGGTGAGTATGTAGCTCTCTTTACTCTCCTTTTTACTCAGATTATTGATCTCTGGGTACTGTGCTTGACTTAAATTTATGTTTTATTTTGTAGCAATTACTTCACAAAGCTGCAGAGGGAAGCAGAGAGCTGCTGATAGATTTATAATATGGCCATCGACTTGCTGGCCTGAAGCTCTTGGCTTTCTCCATTTGTCTGTTAAATACTTGCTCATCATAGGATTATTAAGAGATTATTTTTTAACGCATTTAATGCAAGTTTTTATTATTTAATAATGATAGAAGGGATATATACTTGAAAGCTCCACATCAAATGTGTTTATGTTGTATTCACTGACGTAAAGTGAAAGGAATATTCTAGCCAGCCACTGCATTATAGAGTCTCTGTTGGAGATGGTTTATTTGTAAGGGAATAGAGGAGCACTCTCTAACATTTTTGCCAGGTTACACCAAGATTTAAAATTATATCAGTTGAAGTTCTCTAGCTTCAGTTTTGGGGGAGTTTTGTTGTTGATTAAAAAAATAAAATTCCAACTCCTTCTAATATGTTAAAAAAGTGAATAAATCCATGTAAAGCTTTTAGCACAACGTCTGACACATAGTATTCCTCACTTTAGCTGTTGAATATAAGGTACTGATGTGAAAACTTCACATTCATCTGATATTTATTCAGTCTCTGCTTCTGGGTAGAGACTCTGATATGTACTTTTATGAGTTTTAGCTCACTGAATGATATGAGTTATACAGCCATGGAATCAGATATCAAATCTAGTGTAGGTAATCTAAGCAAACAGGATTACTATGTTAGAAAATATGAATTGGCACGGTAAGATTATAGCCAAGTTATGGTTATTTACTTTACAGAAAGAGTCTTCACTTAGCAGTACTATGATATCATTTTTCATCCTAACCAGTATTATAATTTATCTTCTTTATAGAACATCTTCTTTATACAAAGCAATACATCATTTTTAAATCCTTGATTCTCTAATTTCATTCTTCAGAAAGGACACTTGTGATAGTTTTCACCCCATTTCCTTTTCAGATAAATGAAAATTAAGCCATATATGCTAGAGATTCAAAGTAACTCTGGACGTTGAGTCATTCATTCAGCAGACATTTATTAGTACCCTCAATAAATAGTCAAAATTAGTTTTCCTAAAGAAAATGGTTTCCCCTGTCAAAAAATTCACAGTTGAGGCTGGGCGCGGTAGCTCATAGCTCACACCTGTAATCCTAGCATTCTGGGAGGCCGAGGTGGGAGGATTGCTTGAGCTCAGGAGTTTGAGACCAGCCTGAGCAAGAGAGAGACCCCGTCTCTACCATAAATAGAAAGAAATTAGCCAAACAACTAAAAATAGAAAAAATTAACTGGGCATGGTGGTGCATGCCTGTAGTCCCAGCTACTCGGGAGGCTGAGGCAGGAGGATCACTTGAGCCCAGGAGTTT